TGTATATATATATATATATATATATATATACACACACACACACACACTGTATCTCTCAGTGGTTCTTAACCTTGTGAGAGGTACCGAACCCAACCAGTTCATATGCACATTCACCGAACCCTTACTGAAAAATAAAAATCTGATTCAAGAAGTGTTCCTTCAGTTTTGTCGGTGTGAGACTAAAGTTGCTCAACTTGGCATGACAAATCATGCAGACAGGACACTGAGTCCCATCCCGTTCTGTGATGCATGTTGTACATATTCGTTTGACCCCTTTTTCTTTTAATTTATTTTTTGCTCGACATAATTAGCATGTATTAAAACATTCTAAAAAAAAAATCACACGAGGTACGATCACGGAATTTTCCGCATTACTGATTGGACAAGCAATGTAATGTGATCGTCTGCAACCAGTGATGGTCAAGCGGGCCTGTCATAACTGACCTGTTGAGCTGGTTGTGTCTTAACCTCCATGGTAGAGGCTCCGTCGAACCCCTGGTTAAGAACCACTGGATTTTTTTTTTCTCCCCCATCCATGGTCATCGGCATTTGTCTATCATGCATGCACTTACAACTGACTATGAGCTAATCTGAAGCAGCCACCCCACCGGATGATGCAAACGGTTGGGGTGGAGACGTAGCACATAGACGTTGACCGTGCTTTATGCTCCTAACTGGAAACGGATTTATGTATGTAGCCTCGCTTCGTTGAATCCTCCTGTCCTGCATTCCGCCCCTCGCCAGTGTTTCAGACCAAATTTCCACGTGTTGTCACCACGATGAATTATTAAATTTTAACCGCCTGTTGCGTTAATTTTTCTGCTCTAGACTCGGCTTTCCTCCTCGCAAGTGTTTGATTTTCATTCTTTATCTGCAACACTAAAAATCATAAATGTTACTGTGACACAAAGGAAACGTTTATTTTAATAACACCACATGTTTGGATGCACAAAAACAGGCAATATTTACCTTTTTGTGAAATCTGCAAGGGAAAATCAGGACACTGACAGCACCGACTGGTGGGGGGAAAAAAAACACTATTCGATCTGTTTCTTCTTCGGCATTTGCTTCAGAGCTTTCCTGTGCACAGATATTGATATAGCGCCTCAATAGTGGCGCAATGCTGCAACTGGAGTTAAAATACGTCGCTGCTGCAGAGGGACATCGATCGCTCAATCAGCACAGCTGGAGCTTTATGCTGTGTTGAGTGATATCAATTGGTCTGGCTGGGGATGGCACAAAAGTAACTTGAGTCGGCCGCTACACAATTTTGAATGGTGTATACTGAGAGCAGTGCCCAATATTTGACCCTTATTAGCTCAGTGGTCCCAAACCTTTTTTGTGTCACGGACCAGTTGAGACAACTACATGCTGTTAGCGGACCAAAAACCATCAGAAAAGAGGGGAGAAAGGATCGAGGAGAAGAAACAGTGTAGGACAGCATCAATCATCTGTCAAGCTCAAGGCCCTGGACCTGATCCGGCCCGCCACATCATTTTATGTAGTCCACGGAAGCAAATCCTGTGTGTCAACTTGCATGATCCTAGCCAGTGTAGAAAGAAAAAAACGGGAAAGAAATTGTGAAATTCACGATCAGCATTCACTTTCATTTACATCCATTCTTTACATAATGTCTTTTACTTTGCTTCGTCTATCTTTCAATTTGATCACTTTTACCTTGTCTTCAAGCGTCAGAGCTCTTCTTTTCTTAACTCCTTGGCATGCAAAGGCCCGTTTTGTAGCCATTTTAGCAATGCAACGTTCGTGCTGCATCTGAAACTAACAATAACAAATACTTCCTGTACTACTGTGCATGTGTAAACCAGTGTGGTGGTTGCTGTTGCCGTTTCGGAGCGAAGCAGTCGGAGTCGCTGTGGCAGGCTGAGGTCGGATTCGACTTTTGCGGAAGGCTTGTTTTCGTTGTAGTGAACCTCATTGCGAGGCAAGGGCAGCGAAAAAGATGTCATATTACGCAAAAGGGGACTTTTCGTTGTAGAGGGCGCAGAAAAGTGGGAATGGCTTTCATGCATGAAGATTTTTTCACACTAGGGGGTATTTTCGCCCATGTAGGTTTCGTTGTCGAGGAGTTTCACTGTACTTGCTTCAACCACCTGGAGGCCGTCACTGTCAGACAGCAGAACCCAGCGTGTTCCTCCAACCATCCATCCATCCTGTTTCGGAATCGCTTCTCCTTTTAGACTTATTTTAAATCCATCCGCTTGTCGTACAAGCTGCTTGCAAGGATAGCTAGCCTGTGTATTTTTGTGTCCTCTCTGGCGTGTAAGTGGCCAAACTCCCTTTGTCTTCCGCTGTGATTGTATCAGGCCAGCAATAAGAAACAAAGACAAAGGTGTTGCTAAACTGTTTAGCTGGGCTTCATTGACAGGCCAAGAAAGAGCAAATATGTCTGCGTGCTGCCATGGTATCTCAGACAGAAAAGTCCTGAGAGCTATAATACAACCAGTGTAACCAAAACACAAATGGTTGATAAACCATATACAGTATATAGTTCCTTCTGACCACCACAGGTACATTTTTAACAACATACCGGGCAAAACTGGTAAAGCATTTACCTTTCCTGAACTTACTCAATGAAGTGACAGATGATGGCATCCCTTCTTTTCTTCAATGCTTAGTGACTGCAGGGAGATACATATTTGTAAAAAGACTTGAGTGCAAGATTTCCATGTTACACTGAAGCCCTTTTAAACACTTAGGGATTGTTAATATCGTGACACAGCGGTTGTGTACAAATGATCACATTTTTAATTCAGTTAAATCACAAATAACACCTTTAAGAATAAATAAAATAACATTTGTCATTTGTAGCGTTCAAATGATGAAACATCCAGCAACCCATTTTGAAACATCAGTTGTATAAGACGTGGTGTGTGTGTGTGTGTGTGTGCGTGTGCGTGTGCGTGCGTGCGTGCGTGCGTGAGCACAATATGAACGTGTTTCAATATGAACGTCCCCTAAATAGAAATGGTTGTAAAGTATTGTAACCGATCACGTTTAGGTAAATAAATGAACGTTTCTCACTCACTCAGCATGACCCAAATTATGATCTTAGTTATACTGTTTGGTGCTCTCTACTGTCTTTGATACTGATTTGTTGCTTTGCTTTACTGTTGTATATGTTAGTTGCTCCATGTACAGCACTTTGTGTGCAGCGATGGCTGTTTGAAAGTGCTCTATAAGTACAGTACATTTGAGTTGAATTGAGTTGAGTTTCTTCGTGTGGAGTAAAATTTAAATTTCTCACCTGAGCATCACTGAATACTGCAGACACCAACTGGCTGAACTGTGTCCATGAGGACAATGAGAATGTAGACATGCTATGGGCTGGTTTCATCGAAAATATATGTGTTGTGTAACTTAATTTATGGAACTGTTTCAAGGGCCACATTAACTTTCACCATTGGCTAAATTCCCATTTTGTCACAGCTACGCAGTACTATAATTAGTGATTTAGCGCATAAGCTCACAAAGCAATGTTAGCAAGGAAAAAAAACCAAATTAGAGGTAAAACATTGTATGACAAAAAAAGAGGGGTTTTTAAAACAGCAAACTCTCCCAGACAAAAACTTTCAATCAAACACTAAATTACTTTAATGAACGCTGTATTTGCACAATGCTGACATTTAATGACAAGCACCAGTTACAATATCGGCAAATAGAATTAAGCATCAATGTTACTAAACCTTTAAAAAAAAACTGCTAATGGAATCTGTATGAACTGCATAGAGCAGCAAAACAGTTATATTGCAACAATACACAACAGGCATTTTTTCCCACTCTGTCGGAACAATGACTCTTACTGGATCTTGGGCATTAGGGACCTTCTTTGCCTCTTCCTTTTATTTAACTATGCTGCAGCTCTTCCAGTAGACCTCAGTGCTATGCAGCATGTTGCAGAACAACATAGTACTACACTGAAGGCTCCCAACTCTAAATGCCTGCTTTGGCCTTAAATGCGCTCCAGAATGGCCCTTCTTCTTCCTCCCATGCATGAAACCTTCAGCATAATATAGAACTATCTCTTCCTGGTTATAGAATACAAGATTCTATAGCGGTGCAGTGGCAATTGTACTACGGGAAAATTGCTTTAGAGGACGTTAGGTATAGTCAGTTTTTCTTTGTACCAGAATTAAACTGTGCTCAAATTACTGCCGTGACTGCCAAGGTTATTTAATCAGTGTTAGTTGTTTACATATCTGCGTTGGCAGCATTACTGGCAAAGCAAGGATTTGGTGTAATATCCCCAGACGTGGTAGAGGGGACACTGAAGAACCCACAAAAACATTTTGTTTAAGGGTTGCCAGAGGGCTGCTTTGTTGAGTCCCCATCTGTTAACGTGAGTATGAAAAAGATACATTCAGCGAAACGTCCTTAACGTGGCAGTGTATAACAATTAGGTCACTTCTGCAATATAATGAGAGCTATGTAAACATTGTTCATTATTGGAGTTACTGCACTGGCTTGTTTATTTGTTTAACCCTATTTAACTACACAAGACAAGCATATTGACTGGAGAGCAATACCACCTGAGCGTTATCATTAGTCATTTTTATTGTACTACAAAAATATAACAATACTGTACACAGAGCTGCCACAGCATTTTTTTTTTTCAAATCACAGAATTGGGTTGTGTATACAATGAATGCCATCATATTTGCAGTTTGGCATTTACAAATTCATTTATTTGCAGATATTTGGGGGGTGACCTATCCTCTGTTGTTTGTAAGTTGGCTTTGACAGAAACTCAAAAGTGTTTGTCGTTGAACATTTGTACTGTTTAATACAGGGGCGTGGAAACTCTTTCCTCTGAGCCATGTCAGTTAATATTCAGTCCTTCTACAGCACTGACTATTTTTGAATTACATAACAGGACAGATCAAATGCTCGTGCAATCCCCATCTATTAATACGTATATTTCAATGTTTTCTTTCTCCTTGGCTCAGGTATCCGACCCCCGATCCTTAACGGGCCTATGCATCCACGGCCACTGGTGGCGCTGTTGGACGGGCGCGACTGCACCGTTGAAATGCCGATCCTTAAAGATGTTGCTACTGTGGCCTTCTGTGATGCCCAGTCTACACAAGAAATTCATGAGAAGGTAAAGGAGACATTGAACAACAATTCATGATGGCAGACGTTTAAATCTTCAAGATTTGCTATGAAATAAGCATACATGCTCTGCATGGTGTCTTTATGGTTTTCATCTTAAAGATATAATTGGATGCACATTTGTCCTTTGCAGGTGCTGAATGAGGCTGTGGCCGCCCTGCTTTATCACACCATCACTTTGTCGAGAGATGACTTGGAGAAGTTTAAAGGCCTCAGAGTAATTGTCAGAATTGGGTCTGGCTTTGACAATGTTGATGTCAAAGCAGCCGCTGAGCTTGGTGAGAAGATGCAACTCAACACGAGCTCTGTCGGTTTTCTAAATGTCAGAATTAACAGCTCAATATGTTCATTGTCAATGTGTAGGCATTGCCGTGTGTAACGTTCCAGCAACCTCAGTGGAGGAGACAGCCGACACTTCGCTATGTTTGATCCTCAACTTGTACAGGCGAGTCACATGGATGCACCAAGCTCTGCGGGAGGGAACCCGAGCCTCCAGTGTAGAGCAGATCCGAGAAGTGGCAGGTGGTGCTGCTCGTATTCGAGGAGAGACGCTGGGCATCATTGGCCTTGGTAAGCGGATAGCTTTTTTTCCCCAAAAAAAATGATTTTAGTAAAAATGAGCAACCTGAGAGTGGTATATTTAATGTGTGAAATTATATGGCAATGTTTATATCTGCTTTAGCTCCTTTTAATATATGGCATGCTCTTATGATAATATGATTGTGGCCTTCCAGGACGTGTTGGCCAAGCGGTGGCGCTGCGTGCCAAGGCTTTCGGGTTTGGCGTGATCTTCTATGACCCCTATTTGCCTGATGGCGTGGAGCGCTCCCTGGGCCTGCAGCGCATGGCCACCCTCCAGGACCTGCTCATCCACTCGGACTGTGTATCTCTGCATTGCAGCCTCAATGAGCACAACCATCACCTTATCAATGACTTCACCATCAAACAGGTGAACTGGAAAAATGTGAATTTATTGGGTCTGCAAGTCTATTGAGTATTAAAAAGATATGGGCGAATATTTATAAATATAAGTTTAGTGTATTATACAGTATTTTCTCAGAAATTAATGTACCACATTTCATTTACATAAGGGGCTTTTCTTTGGAGAGGAACATTCACTTCTCCAATCAAAGACACCTGTCATGTTAATTAGAGGACAGAACTTTGTTTAAAGTGTCCATATGGCCAGATTAGTTTCAGGCTTTTCTAATGGTACTATCATTTTGTCTAGTCCTGTTTCATGGGTTTGTTTTTTCAAGTAATTCTGTTGAACCACAATTCAAAAGCAATGTCTGATTTTCATTGGTTGATTTTGATTAAATTTGTATTTATTATTATTAGATTCAAATTATTTCTGTGACCACTGTGGGTTTTTCCGTCTTTAGCATAGGGGTATCAACCATTTTGTCCACGTGTGCCAAGTTACCACTGCACTGATATTATTGTATTCATGATTGTGTGAAAATGGTCTGGAGTTTGACAGAACCATTGCTCACTCCTACAATGCAGATGCGTCAGGGAGCTTTCCTGGTGAACACGTCAAGAGGCGGGCTAGTTGATGAGAAAGCACTGGCTCAGGCCCTAAAAGAGGGTCGGATACGAGGGGCTGCTTTGGACGTCCATGAAAGCGAACCTTTCAGGTAACCAACCATCCCTCACCCTCAGAAAGGTGTGTGACATGCAGTATTAACTCAGTGCTCCCTTTTATCACAACCTTCACAGTTTTTCAACCGGCCCCCTTAAAGACGCCCCCAACTTGATCTGTACTCCGCACACATCTTGGTACAGCGAGCAGGCCTCGGTGGAGGCTCGGGAGGAGGCAGCTAGGGAAGTGCGCCGTGCAATTACTGGTAAGTAAGGATTTCACAGTAACAGACTACAGTAAAAAAAAAAAAAAAAAAAAGTTTCTCTTATTTTCCATTGGAGTTGGGCGCATCTGATATCCTCACTTGCTGTAGAATCCCTCGCTTCCCATTTAAAGGTTTCCAGGAAAAGATTAGAAATGTAACTTCAGCCATCTGTTGCGCCAACAATCAGTCTACGAAAACCCAAAATAGATGACTAATTCATCTAAACATGTAATTCTCCTTTGTCGGTACATAATTCCTTATTTAGCAGCATGTGGAAAGCTGTTTCTGTGATATTGAAGCTGTGCCACTAGATAGTGTGGACCCGGACCATGCTATAAATGTGAGTCTGTTAGTGTTGCAGAACTGTTCCCATCCTATTTAGACTTGAATCCACTATGAATGACTATTTCCTGCGTTTTCGCCTATTCACTGTGAATACGTTACACCTGCCAGTTGCTGACTCCCAGGAATGAAAACATTTGTCGTGTTTTCATAACTAGATGATGTTATTTCATATCAGGCAATCTCAATAATGATTGATTTTCTTAACCTATTTAAAGTGGAAAAAAAAAACCAATGAACCCTTTTTATGTACGTTGTCATGCGCAGTTTCTCCTCAACCAGTACATTCTAAATGCTTATTTGCATTAGATGCTTCCCCAATGCATTATCGTTGATAGTTAAATTAACTGCCATTCAGTGTTCCTACACTATAAGTGTAGTGAACTAATATCTTTTTAGTGGGCTCACTATTGCCCTAAATAATCTATTCATATTTTACTTGCCTGATGTTGACTTGAATGTGATGCTGACAAGGGTACTAGCACATCAAAAACAGGGAACTCCTTTACTTGTATGCCACGTGTCCAGCTGGAGGTGTTTAATCGGGTTAGTATGCACAATATCATCCTATTGCAAAAGTCAACTGGTCATTTATTTGAATGAAGTTATGCCACGCTCTTGTTTCGAAACGCTTGAGTATGCCGCACGCGCACACACATTTCTTGATGTCGTTTAGCTGCTTCTTTGTTGGATTGGAGGCTTCTTCTTTTTTGGTGTAGTGGCTTCTTTGTTTAACTGCTTCTTTATGTATGGAGCTGGCTGCACGCCGACTATAATGCACACAATGCCACGGTAGGGGTTTGCTTCATGATATTTTCTCTATCAAACATTTGTTTATCGATTGTGTGTCTATCGCAATACATATTGATATTGAAATACCACCGAGCCCTATCGCAGTCTCTTTTGGTCAGTGGACTCAGTGATAATTTTACAGTTTACCCCCAGCGAGTCCCAGGGACTCGCTGATCAGAAAAGTATGAGTCCCATTATGCATTTAGAGAGTCCCAAATTTCGAATTCTGAAATGGTCTACTAATTTAATTGCATATGATAATATCACAAACAACAATATACATTGATAATAGGTTTATGTCTTACAAACAAATGCTGCAAAAATGTAAATAATTCAGGCATACAAGATTAACAATGAACATCAGCAGCTGTGTACTCCAGATTTATTCAACAAAATAAATGGATCAAAATATGTTGAACTCATATGGCATCATGAATACAGCATACCACAAATTCAGAGTATTTTTTTCCAGTCTCAGACTGCAAAAATTAATTTACTGGAAATCATTAATACAGGTAAGTATTGATGTGGCTTGACATCCTCTTCCCAAGACAATGCATGTGTAATCTATCAATTTGACGAAAGAAATCTACCACACATCATCGTTAGTTCTACTGACAGTTAACATTAGCATTACTACACCTTGTGACGAATGTTTTATTCATAAAGTTACCATGCTACAACCAGTAAATTATAGAATAGCCAAGACTGTTTCATAATATTTTTCATAGCGATTAGCCTATAGATCTAATGACCAACTTGCCTCGTAATCGTGTCTCCCGTCGTATCTCGCTCTCGTGTTCTGTGCATACGTCTCAGGTGAGTTTAGTGATACACCCGTCGGACGATTCATACGAAAAATCAGACTGGCATTCCCATTTCTTAAATGTCGTAATTAGTAGACCTTTGTGTGTTTTTTTTTTTTCGCCGCCATCTCAAACTGTCATCCGCGCGATTCCTCAGTTTGCGGACTAAAATAGCAACCCGCATGCGCACATAACGTTATCTGTTCCGCCCCGCCAACACTGAAAACAAAACAAAATGAAAGTAAATTAGATGAAAAGAAACACATTCACGCACTACACCACAAACACACATTCAGGCGCAGTGAAATCGCGTTGATTATGCAGGAGAGATTCGATCGCGTATAGTCAACTCGTGTGCAGTGACTTTTATGGGAGACGATTTTTCGGGACCGTCAAAATGACGCCACGGAAACGACACGCTACCGGTCACGATCGTTACCGTGAAATCCTCAGGCCTGCCGTAGTTTTTTTTTTTTTTTGTTTTTTTGTTTTGACTGAGAAATTTCCTTGCGTCCCAAAAACGCACATTATTTGGAACTGTGCGTCCCGCGGGAAAATTATGCGTCTAGGACGCAGAGATAACGAGATGGCTGGTGGATTGTAATACCTTCACCCCCTGCCCTGTGGAGGTTGTCTTTGGGTGTTTCTTCTTATCTCTCACATTGTTTCTGTCATCAACTGCTGTTGATACCCTGTTCCATGTCTGTTGGTCAGTACACCGGTAGTTTCTTTCTTTTTCAGGACATTCTAAATTGTTGTCCTGGTTCTGGCCAGTGTTCGTGCAATAGTTCCCTCTTCTCTCAGCTTCAAAATGGTTTGTTTTCCTCCCATAGAAAGCTCTCCGGTCGTGCCCTTTTCACAGTTGAAAGCACCATCTAATTTTTAAGCAATCAGTCCGAAAGGCAACATCTGAGCAACTAGAAACACTCATCAGTCACATGTTCCAATGTTTTTGCTCTCTTGAAAAGTGGGTGACTTCAAACCAAAGGTGTTATGTTATTAGACATCTAGCTGTAAATACCATGAAACAAAAACTGTAATTATCAACATTTGTCTTCTGTTCATCCTTTGATCTGAAACCCAAATGTCTTCAGTTTACAAAGACAAAAAAACAATTAAAGGAATTGACATTGCCGTTCCGATACTTTTGGAGGGATGTGCATATCATATTTAAATCTACACACACACACACACACACACACACACACACGGAAAGCCAGGTAAGACCTATGGAAGCTTTTTGCAGCTCATGCCTTGCGTTGTCAGATGTGACTAAAAATGTCAGGAAAAGCCTTCTAGAACATCTGAACTTTATTGGGGATTTATCAGAGGCACTTTAAATGGTAGCAGGTATGTACTGACTCCCATTCAACATGAGTTTGAATGTGATTGGTTAATTGTGAATACAGCCACAACCTTAGTTACAAGTGTTAGCAGACATGCTACTGCATTATCTCTTTTTAACTTCCCTCTCTAAAATTTCCTTTTCTTCCCCCATTTGAGGAAACCAGGTTTATCTTTTATAGCCATTGTGTATGCCGGTACTGCTTTTCAAATAGAATCAAACATTTATTGCGTCAGAGTGGTGTAATTTATTTTAAGCACAAATTGTATACTTAATACAGAAGTGTTGGCATGAGTTGTGTAACTCTTGTACTGCTTGCATTTGTTGCCAATACAAGAATAAAGTGACTACTTTAAAAGGATTCAGGAGATGGGTGCAGCATGCTGTCACTCTCTGCATGGCTGGCACTGCTGAATATCCAGTAAAAATGCAGCCTGTAAACTTTGGTTATTGTGTTCTAGGGCGTATCCCGGACAGCCTGAAGAACTGTGTGAATAAAGAGTATCTGATGGCAGCATCTCAGTGGCCTAGCATGGAGGCTGCCACTGTTCACCCTGAACTTAATGGCGCAACCTACAGGTGAGAGAGTGACTGTGCAGGATGGGAATGGGGGGCTTACAAATCACTATGAGGCTAAACAAGGACACTGGAAGAATTGTGGGAGTGTGTGGCAGATTTGTGCTTGTCTTATTTTCGTATTTGCCATTATGTACAGGGGTCCTTGGTTTACGACACTCCAGACGCACGCGGTTTCATACTTACTGTAAGAGCTGTGAGCAATGGGAATGGTTGTGCATCAGAGGTCACAACTCAGCTGAAGGTGGCCACTATCAGTTTAGTGCAAACTGCTGTTTTAATTCAGTTAGATGTTTTTTGTTTTTGTTTTTTTGCACAAATCTTTCCTGTAAACGTGACTTCAGGACCGTTTGAGATTTTGTGCAAAGTTGGGTTATGTCAGCAAAGGAGGAATGTAACTTGGGCGTAAACCAAAGACCGCTGTAGTCACTGGCCATGACACTTAAAGCTTTTGTTTGGCAGATTCCTGGCATCTCATAAATATCAATTTTGAGGAAAACAAAAAAATGTCAGATTTGTTAAGTCATTAACTTTGTATCAAAATAAATCATTTTCTACACTTATGATTTCTGCAATAATTAATGTTAAAATAACAACCCTATTCGGGGACTGACCAAAAGCTGAAAAAATACTCAATTTGCCTAATTTGTACATAGGCTGCAGCCCAACAATAATGTTATGGAGTTGAATGAGCTAAGAAAAATTTCCAAATAAGCACTGACATTGTATTATATGGCGCCTCTTGCTACCATATAGCGGCGGCTCCAGCGTTAGCACTAACCGCTAAGCAAGCAAGATGGCGTGAGCCAAGCAAGGCATGTTAACAGACGAAAATGACTGCACATTTGGATCCTGACAGCCTGACACAGTTGCCGTCCCTACTGATCAAGTTTTCACAAACCAGGCTTACTCAAAAGTTCTGTTTAATCGCTAAAAATCGCGACTGTGATTCTGTCATCACTTTGTCTCATAGACCAAAATGTATATATGGGGAGAGATTTCTCTAAATCACCCTTAGTAACGTTTCAAGAGATGGAAGTAGCTCCCTGCTAAGCACAGTTGAAATTGACGCAAAACATGTCATCTAAAAGTGATTATTTCAGAAAACATGATTTTAAAAAGCTTTGAAAGATTTGAATTGTCGTTACGGTAAAGGAGTATAATTTTAAACCTGGATTTAAAAGCATTTACACTTTATGGCATGTTTTGAATCTTTATTCATTCATTTGATGTCCCGCTCTCCCACTACACGCACGCACACACACACACACACACACACACACACACACACACACACACACACACACACACACACACACACACTAAAACACACACACGCAAACTAAAGAATGCTAGCAAATCGGGGCACCGTAATATACACAAGAGGGAAAAAAATGCTTTTTAAGTGTGATTTTAGGTAAGGGATGGATGGGTGCTTGTTGTAAAAGCGACTTTACAGTAAATGCCTTCTCATTTTTAAATGTATTTGTTACACCTGCTCTACACCCCCGCAGGTGTAGAGCAGGATTCTGCTCTACACCTGGTACAGAGCAGGTACAGAGCAGGATTCTGCTCTACACCTGCGATATCTTATAGCGGACAGAGTGAAGATGGATGGAAGGGGTGCATCAAATAAAATATAATCTATTCAATCTGTGTTCCAGAGTTCCTCCAGTTCTGATGAATGTTGCTGCGGCAGGGGGTCTCCTGGGAGCTGGAGCTGGGGTTGAAAGCCTGGTTTCGGGAAACCTGGCCCATGGCATAGCCCCCATCTCTCAACCACCACACGCCCCTTCCCCGGGGCAGCCAAATAAGGCCGAAGGCGACAGAGACATCCCCTCCGACCAATAGCCCCCCCCCCTTCCCCACACACCCCCCAGCTGCCCATACTAACAACCTCCCAAACACCCCCGCTCCCTCCCTTTGACTCCCTGCTACAGCCAACACATTCCGTCACCTCTGGAAAAACCGGGTTCCAAACCTATCTTCCTCCCACCATCAGACACATTTCGCCCTCCCCCCAAACACCACGATGACCTGATGTAACTCCATGTGGTCTCAATTGACCAGCCTAGGGCCCCCCCCCAACACACACATACACACACACATCCCTCCTCATTTCACGACCCTTCGGCCCCCACTCACTCCCTAACGTCAGCAATAACTTTGTTCTCAAGGATTCAGTGATCGGATTGGAATTTTTCCATAGTTGGCTGTTGTGACTTAAGGTGTTAATGTTTATAAAGAAAAAAAAAACATTTCTGACATCAAGGCTTTCCAGTCGGCTGCATCCTCAACTGACTGACCAGTGGAGGTGCTCAGGCAGAAAGTGCCCCTTTGTCCATGAAAGGCTCGTGTTTCTGTTTTCGTTGTCTTTTCTTTTCTCTCGCACCGCCCTCCATTTCCCGTCCAATCTTCTTGTGACGGGATCATGTGTACTTCAAGATAAACCAGACCCAACTGGTAAAAAGCCTCACCTGCCCAGTTGGGAATTGTATTTAAAATCATGGCCCCGCTGTTCCAAATGGCCTCGATCTTCAGTCTTCCTTTAGGTTGACGAATTCACCTCTACTCAAATCCACCCGGGTTCATGAACTTCTGTCTCATGCCCAAAAGCTGTAGCGCCAATACTCCATCACACACATGCGGGGCCTCGCCAGCAGAGGGCGCCGCCTGACCACTCATTTCAGTCTGAGCAGGAAGGTGGTCTCCATTTTAGCTTTCGTGAAGCAAAGACCCCACGCTGACCTAACCAGGCCATACATCCTACTCCCCCACGGCCTCCGCCGTGGCCACCGGCCCCACACATGCTCACGAACCCAGTGTGCATCCTTCCTTTAAACGTTTGGAGACAGTAACGTTAAATTCCTCAGTCGCAACAAGGAGGGCGTTATCTTTTGCATGCTAGCTTTGTTCACAACAGTGGTATGTACAAGAGTGCGTGTGCCGGTGTGTGTCCCTTCACGCTGTTTTCTTCCCAAAGGTATAGTCCCTACGAGTAACTCTTTAACGCTGTCGCTCTGGTGTCAAGGAAACACCTTTCTAGTACCTCAGTAACAGATATTGAATGTACCGTGCATACCCTTTTATTTTTGTGTACAGATTTTCTAGATTCTTCTTACTGTTCTTTACCAGAAGGGTTGTGATATTGTAGCAGTAATGATTAGATCAAAAAAAAAATCCCCTCATTAAACAAAGCGACACATAGGATCTCTCTCTCTCTCTCTCTCTCTCTCTCTCTCTCTCTCTCTCTCTCTCTCTCTCTCTCTCTCTCTCTCTCTAGGTTACTGAACTGAATACTCAGGCTTGGAAACCAATGCTCGTCTTTTGCCTTGACCTTGGCCCCTTTTGTCCTCCATCTTACTGGCTAATGATTCACGAGGAACAAAGAAAGGTGGTACTTGTGCTCTTGCTAGTTTACGTTCACTAGAGCAATAGTCGTAGATGCTTCATTTTTTTTTTTGCATCCCTTTTGTCATTGCCCTGCTGCTCTGTTTGATGTACATGTGCGATTTTCATTTAAGCAGATAAAAAAAAGAAAAAACGTTCAAATTCGTGGTTGCTTCTCCCTCTGCTGAGTGTTTTTAGCCCCAGTAGCCATTTATGTCATGGTCAATTTCCAGTAATGTGCAGTTTTGCCCTCTGGATCACACCCTTCCCCCATCAGTCTGAGTGACTTGGAGCATGTGATGCTTGGCTCCTCCGTCATGTGATGAGTATATATTTTTAAGAAGAGTAAACCCCCCCAATGAACCCCTCACCCACCCACGTTCCCCCATAGTTCCGTTGATGAATAATCTTAAATTTTGCTGTTGATGATGATTATATATATTTTTTCATTTCAGCCGTGCACTGTCGTGTATACCAGTTAGTTTTAATGTAGATGACAATTTGTTTTTATGGATAATTGCTGTCTGTGCTCCATCTACATGTTGTACTGAAAAGTATGAGACCTCCCCCTCCTCCTCCTGCTACCCCCAACTCTGCTTCCCATGTCACGTCCCAATTCCCCCCAGGCCTCGCTGTCCTTTCTCACAGTAGCCGTTGTAGAAAGTCGCCATGGAACCACTCACTGCCTTAATACAGTTGACCACAGAAAGTGACCAGTAGAAATGAACGGGCCCCCCCCCAACCCCCCCCCCTGCCCCTCAAAAAAAAAACAACATCAAAAAACTCCCCAGTCACACAGCAGGCTGAATTCTACAAAGGTGTATTAAGGTCACACTAAAAATGAGAGAAAATGTACAATGACAAGGAAGAGTCACATTGTTAAGGGTGAATTTGCAATTTTCCAATAACAAAACAACACTTTCTGTCATGTGGTGAAAGTGTCATGAGCTCACATTTCGCCCACAAGTTTTCCTGTGGGTGCACGATTGAGTGACACGTAAGTCACGCTACTGGCCTTAATTGGGTGTTTTTTTTTTTTTTTAATGCAAACTGGGCTAAAAAAAATCGTACTCCCCAAGAACTTAAATGGGACTTTATCAGACCGTGTTTTACTCTACAGACCTGTCATTTGTTTAAATCAGGTCAACTCGGAATTTTTGTTGGAACACTTGATGATTGAACTAACAACAAATGAGAAAAAATTGTACAAGCAAATTAAACTGTACATGCTGATGATGGTGCCAAAATGTTGACTTTCCTTGTGAAACTATCGTGACCACAATCATCATAGTCATGTTTATGTCCATAATGTTTAATCTTTTCCTACAGTGACAATTTATTTTTACCTCTCATATTATGGCGTTTATGTAACTTTATTCTCATGGTACCGTTTTTTTTTCCCCACCCACCCCATGTGGCTCTAATACTCCTTTGGTGAATTCTACAGTACCTTTGCAGCAAGTGAACATGGTGTTGAAAGTTTTTATTTTTGGATCAAAGGCATCAAACACCCCCCGCTTCTAAAGTCACACCAGCGGTGTGTTTGTGCTCTGGCTAAAAGATACAAGCACAGTGTGTGTGTCTTTGTGGTCACAGAGCTCCAGCTGATAGTTCACTCTTGGTTGTGAGAATGCAGCCACCGCCATCCTTCCTCCTCCCCCTCCTCCTTCTACTCCTGCTACGACTCGGGGCTTTCGAAGGGTCTTTCACTCTGCTGCCGGAGACCCCCAAAAGGGCTGGAGTGCTCGGGGCACAGCAGACACTGGTGTCATCTGTCCAGAAAACAAAAACAATTGGTCACTTTTTCTCTCTCAGGGTTGAAATGAACACATATCCTTTAGCAATTGTCCTCCTTCCGAATGTAGAACAGCCTTGTGTGTTTGTAGAAGCCGCGAACCTCTTCTCTTGTTCCACCCCTCCCTTTTCCTACTCTCTTGTTTTCCTTTTGGCACTGACATCTAACCATCTAGCAAGGAGTGAATGAATGCTTGAAAGTGACTGTGTGCATGTGTTGTTTGATGTTAAGATTGGGAAATGTAATTTTACACGTGAACATGTTTCCCCCCCCCCCCTTCTCCCTCTCACCCTCATTTGTGAACTGATTTTTCAACAGACTGCAAAAAAGGAAAAAAAAACATCTCTGTAACTAGGCTCTTAAGCTTTATTTTTTGTTTTGTTTACTTTTTTATTAGAAACAAACCTGTTTGTGATGGTAACACCCAATGGTAAACTCCACACCGTATTTTAAATAAAAGCTTAAAAATTAAACACTTGTTTCCATGTTTAATTTAACCACTCACTGTTCAACTGGTTCTTGCTGTGTACTTGGTCTTTCTAGCTCATTTGACCTGAACAGTCTGTGTTTTGTCCCCCCTGATTACACTTTGCTGCTTTTGGACACAGACTTGTATTTACAGACCTTGCGCTATAAACAAAATTGTTTACCACAGTTGGTCGGCTCTTTTATTGGGCATCGCAGGGTGTTGCAGTGCCAAGATGACCACAGGTTTACGAGCAGGCGGGGTAAGCGGGAAAGGGGCTTCTGTTTAGACCCACAGGCCAGATAGCGCAGGGTGAGGGATTATCAAGCTGAAAATTGCTACCACATGCACATAACTGGAGGCTACTTTTTTAAAATGACAGCCTACTCAAACCAGCGACCCAGTCTCAAGGCACCTTTGGTAACTCACTGGCCGTGTTTTGATACTCACAGAAGTAGCAGTTGTTGATTGAGTGCATCTGTATTGTGTATCTATATTATTGATTAAAAAAAAAAAAACAAAATCTCTTGGACAACCCTTGTGTGTGCAAGAATATGAATGACGAAGTTGATAAATCATGTTTATTATGGTGTATTAAAACAATGGACAGCACTTATGACTGCGGTCAACTTGGGCGTGCTCAACACTTAAGACCTAGTAAACTGACACCAATGTAACACCCATTTGTGGAGATATAGCATTAGCTCGTCTGTGGAATGGAGCTCCATGCTGGTGTGGCCGCTTTCAAATGCCTCATTGTTGGCCATGAGAGCATGCATGCCGCGGTGAGAAAGGTAGATGCCCCAAGAGAGGAAATGGAGGAGGAAAAAAAGTCCACTTTGACAGCCAATCCTCAATGTTCGTTGAGAAGCCTAATTTTACATACTTGTTTAATCCTTCCAAGCAAGAGGTGTTTTGAGTTTTTCTTCGCCCTCCTGGGGGTGAAGATCAGGGGATGTTGTTAATATTTGTCAACTGGGAGCATGTGAAGCCCTTTGAAACCTTTTGTGATTAAGGATTAAATGTGACTTCACCAACCTGTAGACCAGAGCTTCCTTCAGGTGTGGCAGTTCAAGAATACCTTGTTGTTGGCTATGCGTGCATGCATAGTGAGAAAGGCAGAAGTGCCAGGAGAGGATTGTTTATATACATGTGTGTGTGTGT